TTATCAAGTATTAGTAACAACACTATGATAAAAGAAATAATAGATTGAAGAAAAAAAATGAAGTTAGAAAAGCATTTAAAAAACTACATAAAAAAATAAATGATAACGATGACGAAGAAACATCAATATGGTGTAATAAAATATTATAAAAAGTATTTTCAAATTCTGCTAAAGAAGCAAAACCCCTCTTCACATTCCTCGTAAGAGCAATCTAAATAATTCTTAATCTCGATAATGGAAGTATATGAGTAAGAGACGAAATAATGAAATCAAAAATAAGAAAAAATATAGTAAGTTTTATTTAAATATTAATTTATTGATCATATCAAAAAAACAAAAAAAATGTTAAATATCATTATAATTTAAGGTAAAATCAAAAATAGAATTATCTATATTTCATTATCAAAATCAGAATCATTCTCAGAATTATCCTCAGAATCAGAAAAGGATAACAATGACAATATGAATGAAGACAATAAAGATGTTGGCATAATTTATATTGACTTTAATAAAGAAAACAATATCATTAATTATATTATTGGATAAAGTTGTTCTTTTAGAAATTTATAACCTGAATATAATGTCTTTACAAAAAAATAAAAAAAGGATTCTCTATAATTCAAAAAGAAAACTCACAACAAATAAAAAATTTTATAAATACCCTTGAACTTTTTTTTTACTTATTATCAGTAATTATTAATTTCTCTACATAACTGATAATTTTTGATTATTTATTTGTTTTCAGTTTCTTAAAAATATTACCATTATAATCATCATTAAATAATCTATTATTTAATATCTCAAGATATGTAGCACACACTTCAGGTGATAGTGGTGTTGAACAATGTAGTATAATATATGTTACTATTTCTGAGGATTTTTTGCAAAACCATTTTACTAAACAATGTTTACATTGTACTCCAGAATATAAATCTTTTTTTTTACCTATTAAAATAACTAGTATACAGAAAAAATATTGTTAAATTTTATTTCTAAGATGATCTTAATATTTTTTGTTAGATACTTCAAGTATTTCAAAATCTTCTTTATTATATTTATCCATATTAAAGTTATAAAAGTAACAAATAAAGAAAAAATTTATATAATTTATGACTTTTTTATTCAATATATTACACAAAATTATATATATATATATATACCTATTTTATTTCATTATCATATGTAGTATTTATATTTGTAATAAAATTAAAGTACATAATTATTTAACAATTAAAAAAATAAAACTCAAATAAAATAAAATTTATAACTATATAAGTTAACTTGAATTATTTTAAATAAAGCTTAAGACTATACATATTAAATTCAAATAAAGTTCAAAAATACAACTATTGAATTGGAATTAAGGCTTAAGACTATATAGTATAATCTTAAATAAAGCTTAAGACTACATTGTTGAATTGGAATTAAGACTTAAGACTATATAGTATAATCTTAAATAAAACTCAAGATTACAACTATAGAATTGGAATTAAGGTTTAAGACTATGTAGATTTATCTTAAATAAAGCTCATGACTACATAGGTCAGCTTGAGGTTACTTTAAAATAAAGCTTAAGATTACATATGTTAAACTCAAGTTATCTTTAAATAAAGCTCAAGACTATATGATATAGATTCTAATTTACCTTAAATAAAATTCAAGACTATATAGTATTGATTTCGATTTACTTTAAATAAAGTTCATAATTACATAGGTTAACTTGACATTACTTTAAAATAAAACTCAAAATTACACATGTTAAATTCAAAGTTAACTTAAATAAAGTTTAAAATTTAAAAAATAGACTTGAATATATATGTGCTCAAAAAATAAACTCGAATATATATGTGCTCAAAAAAATAAGCTCGAATATATATACATTTGAAAAAATAAGTTTGAATATATATGTGTTCTAAAAAAAAAAGTTAAAAAAAATAAAAAAAATATTTAAATAGTATATATATTTGAGTTTAAAAAAATAGACTCGAATATATATATATTTGAAAAAAAATAAACTCGAACATATATGTGCTCAAAAAAATAAAATTGAATATATATACACATATATATTTGAGTTTATTTTTTTTTTTTAAAAAAGGAGATTAAAAAAATAAAATAAAAATATTTGAATGCGCATATATTCAAGTTTAAAATACATATATATTCGAGTTTATTTTAAACTTGAATATATATGTTGTATCAATTAAAATAATTTTTTTTTCTTTCAAATAATTTTTCATATTCCAAATATTTAAGAGATCAAAAATAATTTTAATTATTAAAAATAATTTGAGATGTCAAAAATAATTTTGGTTATCAAAAATAATTTGGAATGGTAAAATTAATTTGAAATGTCAAAAATAATTTAAGATTTGAGATATTTTAATCTTTGAATCCCAAATAATTTTAATATATTTTGGTAACCATAATACTATATTAATTTGAGATTTGAGTAACATATATAGATCTTCATCTACTGTGTCATATTTTGAATCATTGAGTTCATTATTATTATCATCTGACTTTATTAAATTGAATTATTATTTATTTGTCTTAGGTATAAGTTTTGACTTAATTTTTTTATTATTCTTAATTTCTGATTTTGATAATCATTTTAATAACTTATCTATTATTAAAATTGATTTTTTTTTGTTTTCTGTAGGTTTGGATACTAGGATCTGATTTAGTTTTTGAATCTATAATATTACCAATTAAAAGGTCTTTTACCAATACATTTTGCTCTCTCGACTTGAGTTTTCATTAAATAAAATAAGATTATCTTCTGGTATTACTTGATTTTACTCTAGTGTAATGTTTTCTGGTTGAGGTACATTTTGTACTTGTATTACACTAGTTGAAAATTGATAAATAATACACATATCGGATACCCGATATGTGTATGATACATTCCTAATATCAGGCATATATCGGGTACTCGATATGTGTAGAAAATATTTTTTTACACTTATCAAGTACTCGATATATATATAAAATATTTTCTACACCTATCGGGTATCCGATATATATCTGATATTAGGGACGTACCATGCACATATCGGGTACTCGATATGTGTATTATTTATCAATTTTTGACCAGTGTTAGTTATAAAAGAGCCTGACATATTTTAGATCATGTTAAATTCATATGTTTAACCAAATTACAAGTTTTAACTGTTCTCAAAATGAATTCACAACCTGGACATTTATCTACTATTCTATATATTTTTATGTTCTATGTTTTTTATTAATATAATCAGATCTTTTGTTTAAATTAAAATAATTAATTCAGTTATATAAATTTATCGAAATGCAGAGTAAATATACATGTGAATATATATACAACTCTGGAGAAATCAGTGGATGTGAATATTGACATCCTTCAGGATATCATGAACATTGGAGAGCAAAAAATGTGTTTTATGTATATGTGATAAGGGACTGTTGCTGAACCTGGGACATGTAAAAAATATACTAAAGGATATTACATTATGCAGTTTTATACTTGACAGATGTAAAACATTCTTATTCCATAAAATTTCAGATTGGAGCTTTACTCTGTCAAAATAGAAAATTAGTAGTAAACTAAATAGATAACTAATACTTCGCTATGTTTCACAACTGTTTCACACACCTTGTGAGGTATGCTCTACAGTAATAGAAAGCTAAATAGTAAACAAATAGGATATCAAAAAAAATACCATATATGTTATATAGTTTAAAAAAATATTACTTATGAGATTTATAAAAGTTATTCATAAATATAGTAAAAGACTCAAAATTTTAAAGAAATGATTAAGGGTTAATAAAAAAAAAATACCAAAATTATTTTAAAAATTTTACTATCTTTTTTTTTTACTATAGAAAACTTATAGAACATTAAAGAGATAATTATGCTCTACTACATTTCACAACTGCTTTGTATTTACCAAAAGATTCATGCTCACAGTGATAGAATACTAATTAGTAATCAAATAAGATAACTAAGCTCTGCTATGCTTTGCAACTGTTTTGTACATATCTAAAGGTATGTGCTTACAGTAATAGAAAGCTGAATAGTAATCAAATAAGATATCAAAAAATATACCATTCATATTATATTATATAAAAAAAAAATATCACTTATATGATTTATATAAGTTATCAAAAATCATGATAAAAACTAGAAAATCTATAGAAACTAATTAGAGTTAATGAAAAATACACCAAAATTGTCTTTAAAAGCTTACTATCCTATTACTAATTTAAATAATTTTGTTTTATTACAATATTGCTCTGAACTTACATCAGATCTGATTCTCTAGTTTATAAAATAAACTGAGTGAATTATTGTTTTTGTTATTGTTTTATTTATTATTTTATTGTTGTTTTGTATTTATTTATTTAATAATTCTATTATTTTGATTAAAATTTATATAATCTTTAAATTACCATTGTTTATTTCATCTTTTTTAATTTTATCTTTTTTTTCAAGTTCAAGTTAGGTCTGGAGCTAAACAAATTATAATTTATCTTTGCTCTTCCATTCAGATCTTAATAACATACAAAAATTATATTCAAAAAATATAAAAAATATTTTAATTTTATTAAGAATTTATTTTTTACTTTGTAATCAATAATTAAACATCTCTACTATATATATGTAACTTATTAGCACATTCAATAAGAATTGATATTTTTATTTTTAATTGATTATCTGATTATCCAATTAAATTGGATCTATCAAAAAAAATTATTAAAGGAAAGTTCTTAATCACATGGAGTTATATTAATCCACATTTTCATTTGAATGAAAATCTTTAATAATTGTTAACTGATGAGTAATTTCCAAATTAGCCATTACGCCCATTACCGGTGTATTGTGAACCTTTTTCAGTTCGGAGTCACATTGCGAAATCCGACCAGAACCTGTATCATGTGAATGATAAATTATTATGAAACAAGTATAGTGCCGGAACTAGATTTAAGATGAAATTTCCGAGGGAAACAATTTATATATTGCAATGAATAATTATATCGATATAACATTACAATGGGAGAACGAGATGAAAGCAACTGCTGATAAGACTGAAAGGTCGGAATTACTCTTTACAGACACTCGAATGCAGTCATACTTACCGTCAAAGTATCATGCAGCCGGCAATCATATCAGTTAGTTAAGATACTGTTATGATAATGTTTATATGATTGCTTTACTATTACTCTCGTCGTATCACTACCGCATCAATATAAAAATTCATGAAAATATGAAAAACTGCACATGTCTTCGAAAATCAAAACTATAAAGTGCGAGAAAGAAGGCAACTGTAGTTGTAACAGTTCAACAATAACTTTTACCTAACTTTCTCACAAATGTATCATGTCGAGCTCATATAATTACAGAGACCGCGCGCAATCATCTCGGTCATACTCTTCAGAAAATCCATCACAACGCCCACCACCTCCTTCTTCTAACAGGACTTCCTCTTTTAATCTAAACCACTTATTGAATTCAGACGATCAACCATTGTCTCACACTTCTGGCCACTATTCATTGCCCCCTTTAACTACACACTCGGCACCTTATTCTCAATCAACGCTCAGTTTCTCTTCCTATGCCTCTCAAAGTGGTAGCCCGCATTACGGACATAGCCATAACGATTTTTCTACTTCTCCCTCCTTGTCTCACACTCATCCCATTCAGCCCTCAATTCCTCCCATACAACAATTACCTTATAGCAATAGCTCTTGGGATTATCCTGAATCTGCCTCACGTCAAGTATGTCATACAATATAACAGAAACGCGACACGTTTTCAAAGTTGATTTTCAATTTAATACTTACATTAATTTTTTTTTTTTAAGCTACCAAGCAATTCTTACAAGCTGGATCACGGTATGCTAAGAACTAAAAGTTCGGTTTATTTTTTTGATATCATTAATATACATATACACATATATAAATAACCAAATATATATATATATATATATTTTTTAGCACCATCAGTTCCGACGACTTCTTCGACATTGACTTTTTTCCATTCCAATATAAATCAAAGTATTAGTCAGGATCAAAATACTACTACACATCAAATTCATGAAAGCAAATCAAACATAATATCTCAAGAGGTAAATATATATATATTTATATATCGATTACAAAAATTAAAGTTAAAACTTTTATTCAATCTTTTATTTTATTTATTTATCATATTAACATTTATAAACAATTATCAAGCCATTATTTCGGCCACCTCCAGTAATGTCAATTTCAGGATTATTGAGTCGAGATACAAATGATGATACAGAATATTCATTTTCTAAATTACAGAAAGACTCTAACAATAATGGTGCTTATGATGAAGAAATTTTTGGTGCTAGATCCAATGTAGCACAAGTTCAAACAACAACAGATAGCGCAGAAGAAAAAGAAAGCGCCGCATCTATCTCTGAGGGAAGTTTACGTGCATCTGATCGTTCTAACGAAGGAGAAAGCACTGGCGATGACCCAAATAGTCCAAGTATGATCATTCCACCTCCGACCCGTAAAATACCAATACCTGAGCCTGTAAACGCTGGAAACGGATTAGTTGTGGTAATTTTTAAATTCTGCTGTTTCACTTTTATGTCACATCACGCCCACAATAGATCGATGTGTCTACTGCGGACAGTATTTTTTAGCTGTTATTACATCATCTAATATTAATATTAATCAAAAAAAAATTAATGATTATGTCAATCCTAACTACATATTATAATACTCGGATTTCAGAAATTAAAAACCAACGAAAATCATTCACATAGTGTTTCTTCAAATCGGGAATCTCAAGAACCCGAAAAAACTAATACCACGACATTGAGAAAGAATAATAAAACATCAACCGTAGCTTCGCCTTTAACTGTTGTAACTTCTACAAAATCCATCAAAACTACAAGAGAGCGCACAAACAAAAAATTTCACGTTAGCCAAAAACCACCTAGTAGAGTTCCGAAGTCAAAAAAATCATCGCGACTTGATATTTCGGAGGTTGAACACCAAGTTGCAAATGAGTCGTCCACTTCTTCTGACTCTTCAGAATATATAATAACTAGAGAAGAGAAAACAAAACATAGACAACCAGAGGATTCAAGTGATTCCTCTTCTTCCGATTCTTCCTCCTCCGGTTCCGAACTTGACGAAAGGTTCAATAAAGAACTTGTGAATTATATGGTAGAAATTTACAAACGTCAAAAACGTGTAGTTGACGAGTTCAATAAAAAATGTGAGGTGAGCATGATTATATAACGTATACGGATTCTAAAGCTAAATTTCAATATCCTCTAAAACTACTAAATAAAGCTCACGAAATGGGAAAAAGGCTTTATCTTATACCCACGTTATTTATTCTTTGATATTATTATTTATTCTTATCTTACAACCTTATAATTTATTTCTTAGACTAAAAAAGAGATTGTGCGAAGAAAATTTGCATCTCGTTTGGTTCGTATTGGTGTCAAGGGTCATATTTCTGAAAAAGATGTCATCGAGGCAGAAGGTTCTCGTCAAAAGGGTCGAAAAGCAAATAAAAAAGAATCCAAACGTGCTAATCGCAAATCAGATCGCCCTGCTGGAAATGATGAAGTAGATATTTTTATTAATTATTCTTAATTTATAAGTGAAAAGAATTTGCTAACTATCTTTATCATTTTTTTAGAACGAAAAGCGTGTTGTTCTTGCTACAAAACTTCAAAAGCAACAAGAAGCGTATGAAATGGAGGAACGACGAAGGATATGGAAAGATATTGTTCGTAATGCTATTCCAAAGGTATATTCTATTAGAATTATATTAATATTATAATTTCTACTTATAACTCATATCGAATATAACTTCATTTAATTATTTTGTAGATGAATAAAATCGTTAATCAATCTATTACATCACGAGCTAACAACTGCCGAAAGATTGCTGTTCTTTGTCAAAAAGAAGCCCGTAAAGCAGCATGTAAGTCCTGTAAATCACCCAAAGATATTCAAACAAGATCAAGGCAGGCAATGCGTCAGGTATCTTAATTCGTACATTATTCTTCTATCCGATATTGATCTATTCGATTTTTTTTTTTAATTTATTTATTTTCGACTTTCATAGATGCTCTGCTTTTGGAAACGTAACGAAAAAGAAGAACGAGAGCTACGTAAAAAGGCTGAAAGAGAAGCCCTTGAAAGAATGCGTGTTGAAGAGGAAATGCGCGAGGCAAAGAGACAAGCACGCAAACTAAATTTCTTAATCACGCAAACCGAACTTTACAGTCATTTTGTTGGCAAAAAGATTGGAACTCAAGCCGCGGAAGGGAACTCAACCCAAACTTATATGTCTACTAGCGGACAAGCAGTCATTGATCAAGGGGCAGAATCTTCGCCCGCTGAATTAAATACTGATGAGGACAATAATTTAAATAATATTATTCCACCTCAGTCGTTCAAAGATATCAATTTCGATGAAGGTACTTGATTACTTAAATTTATAATATAATATTTAAATGATAAAAGATAAGTCATATTAACGATTAATTATTGCTTCATTAACAGAGGACGAGGAAGCACTTAGGGAAAAAGCCCGCGTAAGCGCACAGAATGCTCTCGCACAAGTCAAACAACATACTCGTGACTTTGATGCCGAAAGAAAAATAACAACTGGTGGTGGTAAATCAATTGATGCGGGCGCATCAAATGAATATCGTAAGTACTTAAAATATTTTACGATACAGATTTATGGATATGTAATTGTATTTTGTAAAGTTTAACAATTTTGCGTGAATATTTATATAGTAGACCAAATGAATTTCCAAAATCCTTCCAGTATGCCATCGATGTCAGAAATTAAACAGCCCTCAATACTTGTAAACGTTACATTGAAGGATTATCAGTTGAAAGGCTTAAACTGGTTGGCTAATCTTTATGAACAGGGTATTAATGGAATTTTGGCCGACGAAATGGCAAGTATACTTATTGTTGTTGTTGTCTTTAACAATTTAAATTGACTAAATATTTATATTTTAATAGGGGTTAGGAAAGACTGTTCAATCGATATCTCTTATGGCACATCTCGCAGAGGTACATATTAAGTTTCATTCTTTTATATTTTATATGAAAGTTGATATCTAATGTTTCTTTATATATTTATAAATATAGACGCATGGTATCTGGGGACCATTTTTAGTTATTGCTCCCGCATCTACTCTTCATAATTGGCAAAAAGAAATCTCGGAATTTCTTCCTAGCTTGAGGGTAAGCAAATAATAATACATTGTACGGATTTATTTTTATTTATTTATATTAATACATTTTTAATACTTAGATTTTGCCATATTGGGGGACACCCAAAGATCGTGTTGTATTACGAAAATCTTTGAATAAGAAAAATCTAATATTCAACAAAGATGCAACATTTCACGTTGTAATCACTAGTTATCAACTGGTAAGAAATCAACTAATTAAAAATTTTTTGTTTTCGTTCATTGATATATGACATTTAATTTTAATCTTTAATTATAGATTGTTCAGGATCAAAGTTATTTTGCGAGACTAAAATGGCAATACATGATTTTAGATGAAGCACAGGCCATTAAAAGTTCAACCAGGTACACGTTTTTGTCAAAAATATATCCTATTACAATATTGAATTTATCGTTTTAAGGATCTTAATATTTTTATAGTGCTCGTTGGAAGACGCTTCTTGGTTTTCATTGTCGTAATCGCCTTTTGTTAACCGGTACTCCTATTCAGAACAGCATGCAAGAATTATGGGCTCTTTTACATTTCATTATGCCAACGCTTTTTGATTCTCACCAAGAGTTTAGCGAATGGTTCTCCAAAGACATAGAAAGTCATGCAGAAAATAAAGGATCATTAAATGAGCATCAGCTTAAAAGACTACATATGATCTTAAAACCCTTCATGTTGCGTCGTGTCAAGAAGAATGTTCAAAATGAACTTGGGGAAAAAATAGAAAAGGAAATATTTTGTCTTTTGACCGCGAGACAGCGTGTACTCTACCGTGGCCTCCGTGAAAAAATTTCTGTGGCAGAGCTGCTGGAAAAAGCTGCAACATTGCCTGATAATGACAATGTTGATAGTTTGATGAACCTGGTTATGCAATTCCGTAAGGTTTGCAATCATCCCGAATTATTCGAAAGAGCAGATGTCGTGTCTCCCTTTTCTTTTTGTTTTTACGGTTCAACTTGGTTAATATCGAGAGAAGAGTCCTTATACCTTCCGTACAGTTCGAGAAATTATATTACGTATGAAATTCCTAAGAGGGTGTTCCGTAATGGTGGTAATTATCAATGATCAATTGTTAATATTAATTATTAGATTCTAATTATGCTTATTATTGATTTTTTTTAATAGGTTTTTTGAATGTGCCTGGTCACGGTTCTCGTGCTGGATCTCGTTCTAAGATTCTTGATCATCTGATGAATATTTGGAGACCTGATTATATTTATCAATCTTTACAAGATGAACAAAATGGTAAAATATTTATTCCTAATATATTTTAATTTTTAAAATAATTATACTAATTTTTATTATTGTTCTTTAGATACCTTTGCTTTCTTGAAATTCCTGGATATCTCACCTTCTGAGGCATCAAAAATCTTCATTGGAAATTTAATTCAACGTTGGGTCCTACACCTTTTGCAAAGAAAATACCGCTCACGAAATCTTTATATGAAGCATGATGCTAGAAACGATAGAAATACTATGTTTTTGATTAATGAGATGGCTTCTAAACTTATTGGAAGCTCGCCTACTTTAAATGTATTAACAAATATTTTTGAGAATAAGACCCAATACGAACTCGTTGTTCTAGACACATGCTATATGCCCAAAGCTATAGCTCCCCCGATTCAACCAGTATGCCTAGATAAAGGTTTCTACAATGATCAAGAACGACTCCTATTTGATCCTTTCATAAGAGCAGCATTGTCCGGAATTATTGAATTAGTTTCCCAGAACGAGAGAGCACAAAGTACTGTTGGCCAACTCTTGGTTCAGTCGAGAGGTAAAGGTATCATTGGACAAACATATCGAAAAGACCAAGGATTTTCTTATATACGTGTTCCGCGTAAGTTTTTTTTTTGTCTTGTTTTAAGTATTATATGTTTATCGATAAATGAATATTTTTATCTATGAAATTTATATTTTTAGCGCTTAAGAAATTGGTCTTAGATTCTGGGAAATTAACAAAACTAGATGAATTACTCAAAGAACTTAAAGCTGGTGGACACCGTGTACTTATTTATTTCCAAATGACCCGAATGATAGATCTAATGGAAGAATATCTTGCATATCGACAATACAAATATTTGAGACTTGATGGCTCATCAAAAATACACGATCGTCGTGACATGGTTGAAGATTGGCAAACGAGGTGAGTTATGTTCATAAAAGAGAAATTCAAAATATTTACAATTCTCGTTTTTTAATTTGATTTTTTTCTTTAGATCCGACATTTTCGTGTTTTTATTGAGTACACGTGCTGGAGGGTTAGGAATTAATTTAACAGCGGCTGATACTGTCATTTTTTATGATAGTGATTGGAATCCTACAGTCGACCAGCAGGTAACTTCAAATTCAAAATAATTTCATTTTATTTATTCATAAATTGAGCGAATTTTAAGTAAATCATTCTTTTTTATTTAGGCAATGGACCGTGCCCATCGTTTAGGACAAACCAAACAAGTCACAGTATATAGATTAATCACAAAAGGTACAATAGAAGAAAGAATTCTTCAACGCGCAAAACAAAAAGATGAGGTAGGTTAAATTACATTTATTCTTTATTGGTAAAAATTTAAATTTACATATATAACACCTTTATTTCAAATAATAGATACAAAAAGTCGTTATCTCTGGTGGCGAATTCAAGCAAGTTGACTTCAAATCTCGCGAAATCATGTCGCTCCTTCTTGAAGATGACGAACTGGAGGCAAAATTTAAAGAACAACATCTTAAACGTAAGGCCGATGAAGAAGAGAATAAGAAAAAGGGACGTAACAATAAGCGTCGTAAAAAAGACTCAAATGGCAGTTCGTCCAAGTCCCTTGAGGATCTTTGGCATGAGGGTGAGCCAGCAATGGCCGAAACTGAGGGCAGTGGTGTCACAACACCTGCAAGTTCTGTAGGTGGAACCAAAAGAAAGCGTACCAATAGGGCAACATCTACAAGAACGACGACAAAGGGGCGTGCTAAACCTAGGACAAGTAGTGGTAAAATAGGTGGTGGTGGAAAAACAAGAACGTCTACTCCCATATAAAAAATTTTAATATTTGTTAATACTTGTTTAACCTTTTTTTTTTATTCAATAAAATAAATTTGCTAAATAATTAAATAACTTAATGCCTTGTGATCATGAAGATCAGTGTCAGATTAACTGATAAGATGGTTAATAATTGCTACTAATAACTTGATGAATATTGGCTCTATAAAAGATAATTAAATTGCCATTATGAAGCTTGAAACGAGAGCTTTCAAATGATGCTAGTAGCACCTTAGTAGAAAATTGCTTTCCACTACGTAAAATCGATTTGAAGTATGTCTCAACAAATAAGTCCAAATTAAGTTTTATAACAATTTTGGAATAAATACTACATAGTACAACTATTACATAATTAATTAATATAATAAATATACTATACTAAGTACAGATAATATAATACATAGTAAGAATATTTGCATATGCAATTTGAAAGTATGCTTTCTAGATAACTTGGTAATTTCATCCAAAACAATAGATAAAGTGATATATAACATCTCAATATAATATTATAATAACAGATAGTAAAAATTTTTATTGAGAAATGTGAGCAGAATCCAAAAATTTGAAATTTTTTTTTTTTTTTGGATTTGTTGATTGATTAATTGTACTTTTGTATGTATATTTAATTGTTTATGACACTATACATCAAAAAGACAAAATTCAAGAAAAAACAAAATCTATTTTGAGAACATGCATAATCCTGATAGGTTCATAAAGCCACCAACCATTAAGCATGTAATGAGTAGAGATGGTGGTGAAACTTGATGATTTAGTTTCACCATCATCACCTCTAGCACTAGTCAAATACAAAAGAATCGCTGTACCAAATGGTAATTCCTATATTATAGATAAGCCAAAAATCGGTAAAAATCGACCGTCCTATTTAAAGCTCTCAATCGGTTTATTAAATATACAAACCGAATATCTCGGTTCGGTCTCGGTTTATTCATAGAAACCGAACCGAAAAACCGAAACCGGTTTGTATATTAATTTGTTCATCATGGTTTCACCATCTATTTATATTAATAAAGATCTAGATTTTTTTTTTGATTAATTTTGTATCTATTTTTTCATTAATAAATAAAATATTCAATATAAAATTAATATAATCTTAACTGGTAATTTTGAATTATGATAAATAAACTCACCAGTGATGATTGTCACCACTGGGCAAAATTAAATTTACGTGGGCGAAGTTAGGATGGGTTGATCAGGGAATTATGTAATTTTGCCTAGTGGTGACAATCACCACCAGTGAGACTTATTTAAACCGAAAATAACCGGTTCGGTTCGGTTTAGACCGGTTCGGTTTCGGATTGAGTATTCATGTCCCGGTTTCAAACCGAAACCGAACCGTTGAGAGCTTTAAACATAATTTATGTTATTAGTCTTATTTGGAAAAAAAAAAAAAATTAATAATTTCAATAAAATAAAATCAAAAACAATTTAAATTTTAAAAACTTTATGACATTCAATATCCTAACCTTCATATGTCTTGAAGAAATACAGACTGCAGAAATTTTTTGAAATAAATGCCCAAGAAACATATCTAAAATTTTTAGGCAATTTAAAAAAATCAAAACCAAGTAGTACAAATAATATTAAGTGTACAAGGAATGTAATCTCGAATTTCTATCTCTTTATTGTAATAAACACAATAAATAATAATAAATATCAAATAAAATTATATTAAAATTGAGTTAACATGTATATAATATAAAATCAAAAAAATTTAAGGGGATTAATTTTAAGTTGATCCAACACGAAGCACTCTAACAAAAGCATCTAGTTCTTCAATAGTTATATTCATACTTTTAAGCAAAACATTGAACGTTCCACTTTTAGTTAAGGATTTTGAATCAGAGGAAAAGATGTTTTCATGAAGTTGTGGAATATCAATTGATAAACTAATATAATTGATGATCACAGAAACATAATTAATATTTTAGAAGGTGGATAATAAAAAATAATTTAGAAATAATCTGGAAATAATCTGGAAATCAAAATTTAAATTATTATACTTACGCATATATAAATACCATACACAATATATTATTTTCCAGATTTTCCAACATTACTAATAAATTATCAAGTCTAAAAGTTCTCATTAGTTCTATAAGTTCACTTTCAATGTTAATTGTAATTGAGAGTTGTGGTTTAAGAAGATAAAAACTATATAAAAAATAATAAAAAGGAATGTCAAAATGTAATTAATTGAAAGAAAACATTCATAATGTTTTTATAATGTTTTTATACAGACCATTCCATGACTTTCTCTGTAAATATTTGAATTCTTTTTGTCATTATCTCATTGTTTTCAAAATTATTGTATGAATTTTCCAGTTCCACTTTTTTATTCGTTTCTGAATTATATGAATTTAATTTCTTAAAATATATTCTCGTATTTGAAGTAGTCATTCGGTCAAGAGCTGTCCAAATTCTGCCAAATAATGACATTTTCAAAATGATTTTCTTTTTCTTAGTATTATCCAGGTTAATAGATGGCTTTTGCTGTGGTGGTGGTGATGATATATTGTTTTTATCCCTTATAATCTTCTTTGTGAATTTAGATATTATATTTTCATAAACCACAATTTTATTTTGACTATCAACATCTCTAGACTTTGAATTAATAATCTTTTCAGTTGATTCAGTTATTTGTGATTCATCTTTTGTGTCAAAAGTCTTTTCTTTCGGTAATACGAAAGTTGTTTTTTTTAAATTATTTTTCTGAAAATCTATGCAATATCCCTCTATTGCATTATGTGCATATTTCTGATTAGAATTTATTCCCGCGAGTGTTTGAATTTCGAGATTTTCTTTTTCTTTAATATTTATTCCAGGAGGTGCTGGTGGAAGATTAGCCATCAAATTTTTTACATAATTTTGTCTTAAATTTGTCTCATGATCTAAACGTATACATTCTAATTCTTTTTTAACGATTTCCCTTTCATAAGATATAATCTTAAATAAGAATTTTAATGTCAAAAATTAAATTGATTAAAAGAAAGAATCATTACCTTACATCCTCACCAAGAGGAATTACTTGTATTTCTTTCCATGATTGCAAATTTCTAATATATATAGGTTCATCAGAAAGTTGTGTATAAAAAAATCTGGAAGATGTAAAACAAGTTGTTGAACAATAACGTTTCAATTCAGTTAAATCATAGATTTTTCTTTCTCGATTTAATATCCGGAATTGACCATTAATTACCTAAGGATAAGTAAATAATTCTTATGTGAATGATAATAAAAAATTTTAAACATTTGATTTCGAAAAAAAAAAAAATATATATATACTTGCTTATTGTTGGAACAAAGCGGATATCCACATAAGTTATAGGCATTCCTTTCTTCAATAACTTCTTGATACTGATGCGGCAATAAATATTTCGCCTGTCGAATATAACAAAATTTTAACAAAATTTAATAAAATATAACATTATTTATAATTAATCTTTTAACAATTCAGGAATACAAATACCGATTCTTGTAAGATAATTAAATCAACAGTATCATAAAGTTTTTCTTGCCATTTTATCGTTAAGTTTTTGAAAATCATACGCTGTTCAGCAGTTTTTTTAAGAAGTTGCTGTTTTCTGTTCAATTTATTTGTTTTTTCGATTATTTTTTCTTTTTTTAGGCGCCTGTCTTTTTTCGCCTCTCGTAATATTTTGCGATCGTTCATCATGTTAGTACAAGAATCTCATGTTTGGGTGATTATACAATATATATATATATATAACTTACAACCACGTGGTTTAAGTTTTTTTTTTAATTATTTAAAATTATTTTATAACCATAAATAATTTTATCATTAAAAAAATGTTAACTATGTTAACTAATAAATGGAGAGTGGATTTTACTAATCTTTCAGAACAAGCTCGGTAAAGTTTTATAATTTTTATTCAATAATTGAATTGTAGTTTATTAATATATTAATATGTGAATTCTTTTTATTCATATTGAAGACGACACGAAGTTCGTGGTCAGATACAAATTTCTGATCCACCGATATCCCCACCCGGCTTCGCATCTGCTACCCAGAACGTTACAAAAGGCAATTTGGTTTGTATTCAAGACAAATTACGAAAACATTTTAACGTAGTTTTATAATAATTGCTTTCTTTTTAACAGAAAAATAAAAAGGACGCGCAACAAAATAGTACAGTGGAACAAACAGATCAAGAAAAACTAAAAATTAAAGTAAGCTTTTTTATAACATTAAAAATTTTTCATTAACGAGCATTCAATAATATTTAAACTCATTTAAGAAAGCATGGGATGCGGCACTTTCACCAGGAAAGAATATACCTATGAATGCTTTTATGTTATGGATGAGTGGAAATGGAGTGCAAATATTTAGTGTAATGATTACAGGGATGTTATTTTTTCAACCAATTAAAGCTTTGATGAGTATAGACAGTGGTAAGATGTAATATTGTATAATATTTATTAGATTTGTTGTTGTTTTAGTTTCTTTTAACGCATTTTTTCTTTATTCACGCAAATTATATTTTATATTATTAAGTATTTGAGCGATACGAATCGCCAAAGACAAAACCACTTTTAATTTGGCCAAAAATTGTTTATGTGGCATTACAACTACTTACAATGGCACTTGGATTATACAAATGTTCTTCGATGGGATTATTACCTACAGCAGCTTCAGATTGGTTAGCATTTATGGAACCCAAACAGGTATTTTATTAATTGAAATTTTCGAAAATTTAAACCTTTTTTTAATTAATTAATTACTTTAATCTTATTTATTTTTTATTTTTATTCCAGATTCTTGAATATTCTGTAATTTGATTTGAAAAATTTTTTTGAACTAAAAAAAAAAAAAATGAAAATAATAATATATAATTTCAGGCAAAATTATTTTTCTTGTTCCAACTTTTATGAATTATAAAAAATCATTATTATTATTTGATATTTCAAAGTGCAGAGTTAATGAATTATATAATGAATGTTAAAGTTCCGATTCAACTTCTTTCAAAATATCTTCTGCTTGCTTCAATTCTTCAGTTCCAACCCATGATGGATCTTGCTTATTCTGTAATAAATATTAAATATCAATTGTCAATTGAAACTTGTAAAAATTTATTTAGTGAATTCCTTTCACTTACAACTAAATCCTGCAATACTTTATGGGCTTCTCTAAGGCGATTCTTAACTTCATGAATCATTTGCTGTGACTCGTCTAAAACTTCATTCTAAATTAAGAAAATGATAAATAAATTGTATCATTAATTTCCTAGGTTATAATCTGAATTTTTTACCTGCTTAGCAATATCATATTTATCAGCACCTCCTATTGTGATTTTTTCAATACGTTTTTTTTGTTCCGAAACTTCTTTATGATACGATTTTTCTTCTTTGAAAAGCCTTTTTAAAGATTATTATATATTTGGTCAATCAAATTTATCTTATAAATATTGTCCTGCAAATGAACTTGAATTTCACACACCGTTTAACAACTCCAGTCTTTATCTTGAGGTCTTTAAGAGACATTTTTGACTTTAAATGAGAAATAAACTTTGTGAAAATGATTTATTCATATTAGGCGTTTGATCTACATTTATTTGATTATTTTTATTGTTTTTATTATTTTTATACTTTTGTTTCTGGCAAAAAAAAAAAAAAAATGAATCCTTCAGACGATTTATTATCAGAAAACTTATTTTCATTAAAAGGTAAAATTGCACTAATAACTGGTGGTGGCTCTGGAATTGGTAAAATGATTGCAAAAGGTTTTGTTCAAAATGGTTGTCGAGTTTATATCGCTTCTAGAAGAAAAGAATTACTGAAAAAAAGTAAAGTATCTTTGTTATTTTTGGGCATTTAATTATCGACATTTCATTTATCGACATTTCATTATTAAATAGTTGCGGAAGAATTAAATTGTTTAAGAGGATCAGGAGAATGTATTCCTATTGAAGTAGATTTAAATTCCAAGGCATCATGCGAAAAACTTGCTACCGAAATTGGTAAAAGAGAAAATGGAAAACTCGACATTCTTGTAAATAATTCCGGGATGGGTTTGGATACTACTTTAACTGATATTCCCGAAATTTCTTGGGATAAAATATTAAAATTGAATGTCATTAGTGTTTTTTATTTGACCATAGCGTATGCCTTTCGTCTTTTTTTTTTTTTTTAATCGAATATTTTCAATTTTAAATTATATATATATATATATATATATTTTAATCGAATATTTTCAATTTTAAATTATATATATTTTTTTCTTTCTTCATTTTGTTAGATGTTTACCATTGCTTGAAAAAGCCAGCCATAAACCATCTGATCCTTCAAGGGTAATTGTAATTGGAAGTATATCAGGTGCCAATAGTACCAATCTATTTTTATTTGGAATTTTTTTTTTTTTAAAAAAAATATTAAATGATTTATATATAAATAGGAATAGCAGAAGGTGATTTTAGAGGAATAGTTGAAGCAACAAAAGTTACTTCTCTACCGTATAATGTATCAAAAGCTGCAGTTCATAATGTTGCTATGAATCTTGCTGTCAATCTTACGTATGCACTTTCTAAAAGATATCACTTTATAAATATTATACATATATTATTAAATTTTACAAATTTTATAGTCCACGTGGAATAAATGTTAATGTTATTGCACCTGGAATAATGATTACACCCATGACAAATCAGATTGATATTCCCTCATGCACTTTAGAAGTTCCTCAAGGTCTTTTTTCTTTTATTGATTTATTAATTTTGTTATCATTTTTAATAGTAATTCTAATTTCAATTTAACAGGTCGTTTAGGAAATGAAATGGATATGGTTGGTGCATCTTTATATTTAGCTTCCCGAGCTGGTAGTTGGGTATCTGGTGTTGTTATTCCTGTTGATGGTGGAACAATATTAAGAAATAAAGAATGGGGTATGTCCTTGGCAAAATTGTAATATCATTATCAAGTAAATTGTATTTTGTTTATTTATTAAAGATGTATATTGTAATTATGATGTAATATGTAAGAATAATAAAATATTTGAAATTTTAATAATTCTAATTATAAAAGTTAGAGATTAGTAAAAGTAAACTGGATATTTGTATTTTGTCTTTTTGATATTTTTTTTCAATATTTATGGAAGTAAAATAACTACCTTATTTAATATATCTTTAATCAATAAATCTAAAAAGAAATCATCAAATAATTTTGTCTTTTATGAAAAACTATTTTGAAGTTTTTTTTTATTTTAACCTTATATGATAGGCAATTTTGAGAAAAAAACATATATAATTACAACTATTGCAGATTTTACAATTCAAAAATTTGCAAGTCCACAAGTCACAATGTTTTGCATTATATAATTATTCCACAAGCCCATTATTATTTCAATATTAAATAAAAAAAATATTAATTTACAAGTTTTTAATATATTATTAATTTACATGTATACAAATTTAAATAATACTTTAATCAATACCTATTTATTTTGAATAAAAGGATTTTACCAAAATGATTATCTTGATATTATTTATTTAAAGTTTACATTTCTAATTTTGTTCTAAAATTTATATTGATAAAACTTCTCTCTAAGCTAACTCCATCAAAAATCATTCAATCGAGATGAAAAAACTATCATTTTGAAGAGAAAACCCCGGAGATTCCAAATCTATAAAAAAATTTCGAGATGAAAGCTTGTAACCATTACGGAATTGTGGATTTATTTGACAATTACATTCAAAAAATTTACAATAGACATCTTTTTTATATATATAATTTTAGGATAATTATTATTATTACTTTTATAAAATTGTTATAATTGTTATGCATGTCATTAATTAATTCTTATATTATTTCCAGACTAATACTCGCTGCAGTACCATTATTGTAATATTCCTTTATTACGAATTATCACAGAATACTTTTTTTGTACTTGATAAATTCTTTAACTTTTAAATCATAAAATTCAAAATTTCCGTCATTTTTTTTGCATTACATATAAATTTGATAAATTTGGTAATGATCACATGAGGAATCTCGATTATTTTAGAAAACAGATATATATAAAAAATTAAATATTGTGTAGCTAAAAAAAGAATGGAATCACAATTTCCACAGCCTTTGGGGGGTTTTCAAACTTCTACTAGACGTCTTCAGACTACACACAATCCAACTCACCCAGGCTTTTATACACGAAAACAACAAATTCTAAACTCACTGGTAGATTTTCGATCTGACAGAAATTCAAAAGGGCATAATTCTTCAATCGATGAACCAATTCTTCCTTTGATTGAAATACTTAATAAACATGAAGATTATGTCACAGTGAGTAGTTGTTCTGGAAGAATTTCTATTTATAGTATAAGTAATAATGGTTCTCTAAGCGGTGTTGGTGTTGGTGTTGGTAGTGGTAGTGGTGGTAGTACTGCAAGAAAAAGTTTTTCTGGAAAACTGGATTACAATAGCGGTAATTTAACAATTAGTAATGAATTCGAAAATAATCATTTTCACAAACATCAAGATGATGATTTTGGCATTGAAGAATTATCAGATGATTCATCAACAATAAAATTTGGTGCAGGAAAATTATTATTCATAACTCATTCACAAATTGATTTACCCAAAAAGAAAGATGACGAGATAGTTAAGGAATTTTTAATAAACAAAATATTTGGAATTGAATCAGATGATCTAATATTCTCAACAGCTGACATAAAGGATAATTTTGATTTATTACAAACGAATGAATATCGACTGGTTTACTTCAAGTTTGAACCAATGGTTTGTGAATTTTCTTGATTTTTTTTTTAATCCAAGGTTTTCTCTTATAGAAACTTTTTCTTTTAGATCTTACAGGTAGAGTCACGAACTTTGGATTCCGCAAAAAATTTGATAAATTTAACTTTTGAATCAGGTTATCGTGAGTCCGGTCTATTGACAAATTCCAAACGACATTTGGTAACGATTAGAAATTCTCAAAAAATTGATGCGCCAATTGGTTATATTAATTTAAAGACTCAAAAGTTGCATATTTTTGCGGATCTTTCGTATATACTATTACTTGGTACTTTGAGTAATCAAAAATTCGAAGAGAATTCTAGAAAAATTAATGAGTTAATAACAGCACTTGATGAACATCTATTTGGAGATTTTGGTAGCGGAGATGATGGAATTAAGAAAATCATAAAAGATGGCGGAAAAACTTCGGAACATAAAGAAGAAAGAAGAGAGCGAAAAAGAAGAGATGGATTGGCAAGGCAAATTGGATTAAGGAAAAGTGGCACCTTGAGTGATGGCAATGATGGAGATGTTTCAACTGTTGATGATGAAAGTCAAGGTTTAGATAATGTATTGTGAAGTGAATAATAATAAACATTATTTATTAAATAAGTATCAACTACATATATTGTGTAGATGTGTATATATATATATATACGCTTAAGAGAAAGAATTCTAAAGTCCATTTCTTCATAATTCTTCATAATCCTTCCGTAAAATAAAAATTTTTCTTAATTCTATCGAAGGGGACTATAATCAAGAGGCGTTAAGATTTCAGTTTCCATTCTTCGTATTAAACGGACTTGTTAAAAAAAAAAAAAAAGATTAACATGAAGATAAGCTATAAATACAAAGAATCAACCAATTAAATATTTACCTGTCTTATAAACTGTGTCAGCCCATCCATCTATCTGCCATGCTTGTTCTCGGGTGATTTTTCGCTTTTCGAGATCACTTAATTAATAATTAACGGAGTTTGCATATCAAGTGTTCATATTATATGTTTTTACCAGATACTACATTTTAATTAGAAAGTTTTCAACTTACGGATATTGCCACATGTGATGAACATAATTTAGAGCTCCCAATTGTGAAAACCAAGCGCCTATTGGTTCACAAAACTGTCGACGACATTCAAGTCCACGATGCCTGAAACAAAAAATATCTATAAATATCATTTCAATTCAATTCCAAATATTCAAAATGCAAATTACCAATGGGTTTCCCATTCTAATAAGTTTCCAGGCTATTAAAAATTTATTCTTTCTTAATCCGATTTTATTGCGAATTTTTTTTTTCCAAATTTTGGAATAAATCAACTGTTAGATTTCTCTCAAAATGCCAAAGTACAAACCTTTAGTTCATACGATCTCAATTCATAAATTCCGCCATTAACAGCGGGAGGACTTGTTTGCCAAAATGCAAATTCAAGACAAATTTGATTATATCGACTCAGAAGCATAGGTCGTAACTGTTTAATAAATTGTTGACAATACTGAATTATAAATTAAAAAATTAGCATATACTAGCATATAGATTTAAAGAAATTTCATTGATTTACTTACAGGATCATTTTTAAGTCGATCCTGCGTCTCGTGGTAACCTTTATATCCTTGATATTCCCAAATATGAACTAATACCGATTCATAAATAAGTATCTCATATTAAATATTTTAGATGTTATACGATATATAAAATCAAAACCCGATTTTACCAAACGAATCAAGTTGTCCAATTTCAGTTTGCCAGCTGCCGCAAAGATGAACAGAATTTTTCTGATCATTGGCAATGCGAGGATAATGCTTAGAACTTCAATTATTTATGATGGAATAATAATTATTGGATAAATAATAGATATTCAAAGGAAATATGTTTTACAAGAAATTCGTTTACATTAATTTAATATAATCTTCGACAAATTCCGGTTTTATTCTGTGCCCTAGTTAACCAAATAAGTAATCAAATAAATAATCGAAAATTATGATATAACATAATTGAAAATATTCTTTAATTATTACTTTGCAACTCATGAACATATTTCCCACGGGCTAATAATTTTGAGTGGGTTTGACTTTCTTTTTCCTCGATAACCTCGGAACTATGAATACTCCTAACTAGAGATTTAGTTTTAGTTTTTTACTTTACTTTCTTTTACTTTCTTGTGCAAGAGGTTGATACATAGATAGAGAAATGAACTATACTTTTGTTCTGAGATACGAAAAAAAAAGGTCTCTGCCTCAAGAGTTGAAGAAAGGAATAATTTTTATGACGATAGGTTCCCATGTAAACCATCGGAAAAAGTTTGTCGAGCTACATCCGATCTTTTGATGTTGATCATTTATTTAAATTATTTAACTGACATGTGATTTGACCAATCATTTTTACCATAAAAGCAAGTTCTCTTTAAACTCTTATTTCTTTCTCAAACTTAGTTCTGTATTATGCAAAATTTCGTTTTTGAATCAATAAAGTCTTCTTAATAAGTATATCAAGAATTTTAAATTGGTTTCGATATCACATAATTGTTTAGCTCGGAGTAACATCATGTCCGGAATGGAGCTTGAAAGTAGGTCTTTACCAAACGACGATTCTACACAAACTAAAACTCCCCTTAAACACGTACCAACGAAGAAAAATGTAACAATGCGTCGTACTTCTGGAAATAAGTTGACTAATATTTCCACGAATGATACTTTATATTCCACTGGAGACTCACGTTTTAATAAAGAACTTGAATTAAATGAGGCGCAGAAAAATGGCAAATTGGATTACACACCAATAAAAGCAATAGAAAAATCCACATCAACTGCAACAAACACGATAAATAAGGAGAAGACAAAATTAGCAAATCCATCAATTATACAAGATAAAACGAAAGATAGTCAACAAAATTCAGGTATTATCAAAGCTGTGGAGTACGCATCAACGAGACCTGCGGAAATTGATGAAACCACCACAGAAGAGGATATTTTGAATTGTGTAGGTTATAAAGCAAATTCTAATGAAACAAGTCTAGTCGTATGTACGTGGAATGGATGTAATAAATATTTCACTAAAATGGAAAAATTCACACAACATCGTAAACGTGAACATGAGACAACGGACGTAGTAACAGATATCTGGATATTTGGTAATATGAATAAAGGAGGAGAGTTATCAACTAGTTTTATTTCTTCTTCTAATAAATCAGTAGAAAGTGAGAGTTTATCTAACTTGACAAAGACATCATTATCGCCAGTTAAGGTAAATGTGTCTTTACCTGTTAACCCTTCTTCGCCTAATATAAGGACTGAGAAAACAGAAAAACAAGTGAAACAAGAGAAGCAAGAGAAATTAGATGGACAATCAACTTCAATTTCAACCTTACCGGAATTACCAACCCGAATTTCGTCAACCCTAGCAACAGTAAGTCCACCTAAACCTCGAAGATCGATAAAAGACCAACAAGATACATCAAATCCAATAGATAATTCTTTACCAACAAAACGAACTCGCGATTTGATTCCTGCTGAAGAGCTTAAAAAGGAAGTGATTGGTAATAAAAGAAGGGAAATACAGGTACCATTACAATTTCCTGGACATAATAATAATAATAATAATAATAATGAAATGCGTCAAATACAAAGACAACCCAGACGATTCCCGATAGACGAGGAACAAATGATTGGACCTGATGTTCGTATAAGATATCCAAGAGGAAATCGAGGTCAAAATACTAATCCGATGTACGGGTTACCATATGAACCAGGAGATCCACGATACTATAATACTATGCAAATGCACCCTATGAACTTTGCGATATCTCCTTATGGAGAAATGGCGCCACCACCCCCACGTTATGATGGTAGTTATGGTGATATTCCATATGGACAATTTTATGGTAATGGGAATCGTAGGTTTTTGAATAGTCCACCACCCCCACCACCTCCACCTCGACGTTCAAGATGATCAAGATGAAATTATTAGTTTAGGAGATTATATAATTAGTTTTATATATCAATCGACATGAAAATTATGGCAAAAATTATGCCTTATAATGGGATAAACCATTTTTTTTCTTGAAAAATATCACCAAATGTCTATCCTAACAAGATATAACATATATAAATATATATATATATATATATATCCCATAGAATAAACCACTGGGCTTTACTCTCTTTCACCATAATGTATCGACTCATCTAGAATTTTGAAAATTTCTTGATCTTTTTGAAAAGGAGATATTTTATTAAATTCATTACATTCTTGTATAAAAGATTACATATTCCTATTTGAGTAATACAACAAAAAAAAAAAAAAAAAAAAAAAAAAAAAAAAGAAATAATTGCACACATAAAAATTGGGTTGGGTGGATGGAGAGAAAAAAATAATTTTTTGGGATATATCCTTAAGAATATTTTTTAAAAATACTTAAGAGTAGTAAAGAAAAAAAACCGAACAAAATCGGTATAATATCTTCAAAACATATAATAACATCAAACCTTCAAAACCTTTGTAATGTCATGTCATTCAAAAATGTGTACTGTCAAGGAAGACAAATGCTAATTTTTCAGATATCTAAAATTTTATCATCTAATTATTCTAACTCTAAAAAAATTGCATAATACAATTTATTAATTAATTAATTTTCCCCCTTATTTAAATCAAAATTTTGTTGGATTCATTTCTATACAATTATTGATTATTTACTTGAACTTCCCAACAACAAATCTTCACCCATATCCTTACTATCGATATTATCAATCGTATTAATACTAATATTAGAAGGAAGAATAATTTCGTCATGGATATTATAATAAACCACCGTCGAGTCAGGAAAAGTGATGGCAAGAGTAATACTGTATATATTATAATCAAAAAAAAAACATATATATATATATTTATTTATTTATTTACTTTACAGACATTTTGAAAAAAAAAAGGATTGTAGAATAATAAACATTATTTACACTTAATGTACATTATATATCTATCTATCTATCTATTTATCTCGCCCGCTAACCATGTATAAAATATCACTAAAGACAATAATTGTAAATATTTATAGCATAAAATCTTTTTGATAAAAACCTTTTCAATTCATTACCATCAACAACAAAATTGTTAGGCGACAGAGAAGAAAATAATTGTGACATCCTATTTTTGTTATAATAGTTAAGCACAATTCAATGTATAAAATTTTTTTTTTTTTTTTTTTTGATTAAGATTTAATTTTTTACCTCTCAATTGACCAAATTTCAACAGCTGCACAAGGAAATACAATTATTTCAGAAGTCGACTTTGTTGAAACAAATCAAAAGATGATTAAATTGATTAATAATAATAAAATAATAATAAAAATAATAATAATAATAATAAAAATAATAAATAATAATGATGATAATGGAAGCTGGCAATTTGCATAAAGAATTATCAAAGTAGATATTGACTTACTTTGGAAGGTTTTCCTAATAAAACACACTTTCTTAAAGCTTTAACTTCTTTGATCTTGACTTCAAACCATGATTTCACTTTAAGAAAGTAAAAGAAATTTATACTTTAAAATTTATATATTTATATAGTTAATTTTCATTGACTTCACCTAAAATTATTATTTACCTAAAGTCAAGTCAATATATACTTGCGAAAGGTAGGGCGCTTCTTGAGGATATTTATCAAGATACTTGGAAATACTATCGAGCTTTATTGATGAAAACATGTGTTTATTCAATCAGCGTAAATTTTTGCGTTTTCTGAACTTTAAACGCGACTTTGTTTTAAATACTTACTGACGTGGAAGCATTCATTTGTCATTTGGTATTCTTTACGAGGAAGAGACCACATCTTTGTAATCCTAAACGTCACATGATTAGCGAATCATCTTAACCTATACCCAGACTCTTATCATTAAAAAAATTTTTTAAATCAATATATTCAAATATCAATATTTTAAAATATTTCTTGGAAAGATGAAATTCTCTAAAGGTATAAATCAAACTTTCATATTCTTTTTAAATTAATTGGATTATGAATGAGTTCTTTCAAAAATCTTTTAAAATATAGATGTTAGTTCTTCTCGACGTAAAAGCCGAAAAGCTCATTTTTCAGCACCTTCTTCGATTCGCAGAAAAATTTTGAGTGCTTCATTATCTAAGGAACTAAGGGAGAAATATAATGTAAAATTTTTTCCTTTTTTCTTAAAAAAAAAAAACTAATATTAACAATTAACAACATAATTTTATTAATATTTAATATTTAATATTCCAATATAAAAAAGGTTCGATCTATTCCCATTAGAAAAGATGATGAAGTTCGAATTGTGTGTGGCACTAACAAAGGTCGCGAAGGGAAAGTTATACAAGTTTATCGCAAGAAATGGGTTATTCAAATCGAACGTATTAGCAGGGAAAAAGTAAATGGCACCAGTGTTCCAATTGGTATTCATCCATCAAATGTTGTTATTACAAAACCAAAGATGGATAAGGACAGAAAAAACATGTTGGAACGAAAAAAGGCATCATCTAATAAGGGTAAAGCGAAAGAGACCAATGATGCTATGGAAGAAGTAATTATCAAATTCATTATCATAATTTGTTGAATCAAAGAAAATGACATATTTCTAATTTTTTTTTTTTTTTTTTCATTTAAATTTATTTGAAACAGTAAAATAATTTTATCTTTCATTATTTTTTGGAAAGAATTAAATTATAAAAGAATAATTTTAATTATTAAAATGTAATAAAAATTAAATAACCTCAAAATATTTAAAATATGAATTCATAAAAAAAATTGATACAAAATTATAATCAATTAAAAAGCAACAATAAATAAATACTCAAAAAAGTGTGATAATTTTCTAGCCAGGAAATTTTTATTATATATGAAATATTTTCCAATATTTCTAAAATCTAATTATCACTAGTACTCGTAAAACTAAAAATATTCACTTTAATATATATTTTAATTTTTGCTGCTGTCTCAGAGAGTCTAAATGATATTGATCACATTTGATCGGGATATTACAATTTAAAAGATTTAAAAGATTACGCTTCGTAAAGTAAATCATCAAAAAAATTAAATTATTTTGCAGAATTAGTTACAGTGAAATTTACAGGTTACATTTTATACTTTTATATACTTTTATATACATATATAATTTGAAACTCTAATTAAAATTCACATGATCTTTTCGACTTTTTATCAATGACACCAAAGCGCGTTTGAATAAATTAAATGTCTTTATATTCCGATTCAACTCAACCAGGCTCAGCCGCGATTCCTATAGTCGCACCTACTGCAGAGAAAGATTCCTCCAAAAGTTGGTCTTTTGTAGAAAATTTTTTTTTTTCAAAATTCCAAAAATTATTATTTTTCATAATTACATCAAAATTCAATTTAGATTCTGTGTTGAATTCTAAAACAAGGACATGTAGAAATTTGATTATACATGGTTATTGCAAATATGAAGGAAAAGGTTGCGAGTTCAAGCACGATATAGTAAGTCGTTCAAATAAAAATTATCTCTTTTTGTGCCGCACACTCAGGTTCGTCCAAAAATTTGGAATTTCCCAACTTTTATTAATAATTTTCTTATTATTTTAGAGTAAAACAACCTCTCCACCGAATGGCCCCGAAATGTATGCAAATGCGCCATTTATTACCTTCATTTTATTTTTATTTTATTTTATTTTGTTTTATTTTATTTTATTTTATTTTATTTTTTTAATTGAATATATAATATATAACTGATAGGATTTCTTTAATATTTAAGAACCAAAAGTACAAAATTAAGTGTCAACTCTCCAGTTTTCAAACCCGCAAACGTTCTCTCAACGATTCCACCAGAAGTTGTGAATGCACCACCATTCATTCCGAAAAACAATCAAGGTTTGCACCGATCATATTTGTAAATAATTGTTAGTTTTGTTCGATAGTAACCCATTCTCGATGAAAATCCCAGTCAACCCTACTAGTGTTCCAGGTAAATATCATAAAGAAAGAATAATTTATTTAATTTATTTTTAATTTATTATTATTATTATTTTTTTTTTTTTTTAAATTTTATTTTAATTTATTTATAAAAATTTATCTGATAAAGTTTGAATTATTTAATTCTGATAAGGTTCACCCCAACAACAGCTTTTTTATGATTCTGGTGATCAAGAGTATGATGCAGTGTATAAATAAAATATTCGCCCTCTTATCATATTTCATTATATTATAATTATAAATAATTACGATATATTTATATTTATTTATTTTATTTTTATTTTATTTTCATTTATTATTCATTCACTTTAATAATAATTATATTGCAGCAGCATGTCGTCATATGATTCCACTACCGGACATTATTCATCGCAGCTTTCATCCGCGTCGTTTTTAATGTCTTCTGTTAATTCCGCAAGTCAAGGTTTGAATGCACTTGCCAATTCTTTCGCTTCTTTAGGATTAAATAATAGTGTAAGTCAAGGTTTCTTTTGTTTATATTCCTTAGTAAGTATGTATAATATATCTACTATTTTAATTATTTTGATTATTTTGATATTAATTAATTATAGACGACAGATTTTGTTGTTCCTGATACGTTACAAGAAACTTCACCTAACAATATGAACTTTTTCTCTACATCAAATCAAATGGATCAAATGGAACCATTTTTATATCAATCACAGAAGGCAATTTTGCCTCAACCAGTATGACAATCATCATGCACGTAGATGAATTATCGTTGTTTTATTATCTAAATTCCATTATTTACTGGATTTATATCATATTTATTTTATTTTTTTTGTAGCTTCAATATCATTTATATTCATCACCCCTCTCGCATGTATCAAATTTGCATCCACATCAAAAAACCATTCATGCATTCTTTATGTCAGACAATTTAAGGGAAGAATTACAACGGAAAAATGATGTTACATTAAGATCTGTTAATGGTAAAAATAATAATAATAATAATAATAATAATAAATAATAATAAATAATAATAAATTATAATAATAAGTAATAATAATAAGTAATAATAATAATAAATAATAATAATAAAAAATAATAATAATAATAATAATAATAATAATAAATAATAATAATAATAATAATAAATAATAATTAATAATAATAATAATATTATAATAATAATAAATTATAATAAATTATAATAAATAATAATAATAATAATAATAATAATAATAATAATAACAATAATAATTAATAATAATTAATAATAATAATAATAATAATAATCATCTAATTTCTAGAATGTTAATTATAATTCTTTATAATTCAATTCAATAATGTTATATAGCAAAAGACCTTAATTTACCTGAAGAAATTCATGTTTATCATTCATTATATCCACTTGATTTTCGTCAAGAAAAGTCAATAAAAAATTTTGGATATCCTAGTTGGGCATATAAATCAATTTGTAGTGTTGATGGACGTGTGTATAGTTTAAGACGTATTGGAGGTGAATTTTTAATATTTAAATTAATTATTGTCTTTCGAAGTTTAATTTTAGTCATTATCGTTCGAATTTAAATTAGTCACTATCATTCGAATTTATCCAAATATCCCAATCCCTTATTTATCCATTATTTAGGATTTCGGTTAACAAATGAGTTAGCCATGTCATCAATTGAAAATTGGCGAAGAATTAGACATGCAAATATTGTTTCAATTCGTGAAGCTTTTACCACGAAAGCTTTCGGTGACCATTGTAAGTGATTTCAATAATCTTTAATAATAATTAAATATTGAGATTTTGATTCTAAATGTTTCTTTCGTATAAAAGCTCTCGTCGTCGTTTATGATTATCATCCATTATCACAGACATTATTCGATAAACATTTCTCTTCTTTGCATACACCCAATCAGCTTATTCAAGGGGGGGTTAGTGGGGATAACGTTCCCGAATCAGTTCTATGGAGTTACATTATACAATTGACATCGGCTATTAAAACTATTCATTCAACAGGTTTAGCTGCAAGAATGATTGAATCTACAAAAATTTTGATCACAAACAAAAATAGGTTAGCTCATAAAAAACCATTGTTTAGAAAATTCTTTTCGTTTTTGTTGTAAATTAATTAAATTAATTCATTAATTCATTAATTCATTTAATTTTAAGCAGAATACGTGTAAATTGTTGTGGTATATTAGACATGATCAATTATGACGGTGGGAAAAACATTCCCCATTATCAGGTTCATTTTATAAAATATTTCTATATTTCTTTTTGATTCTGTTTTATATAATATATATATCTCTCTTTTTCTTTAATAATTAAATGAATTAATTATTGTCCCGTGAATCATAATATGGTACAATATAATGAAATAGGCCAATACTAATGACCAATATTCATCATATTAAAAATTTTAATAGCAAGATGACCTTTTGAACTTTGGAAAATTAATTATTTCTCTTGCGTGTAATTCACTGTCATCCGTCCATAATCCAAAGTCTATCGACTTTATTTCTCGTCACTATTCACCAGATTTCAAAAATGTCACATTATATTTACTAAGCAAACCTTCTCCAACGAAATCTATTGATGATGTGGTGACAATGATTGGAACTCGAATATTACATGAGATTAATGGTGTTCACCAGTATGCTTCCCTTTATATATATCTCTCTCTATTTTTTTTTTTTATTATTAGAAATTATTAAAGACATATGTATTCCAGTTTTGTACAATTAACGAAAAGCATGTTATATTGATCTTTTAGTTATAATGACTTTTTAGAGAGTGAATTAAGTCAGGAATTAGAAAATGGAAGATTAGTACGTTTATTATGTAAATTTGGTTTCATAAATGAACGTCCGGAGTAAGTATAATATACAAATTATGATATAAATTTTTCTTAATTTGTTATATATAGAAGTCATAACATATATATATATGAATATAGATAGATAGATATATACGAAGATTAATTTTACAACTTTACATTTATACATTATAGATTTGATATGGATCCAAGTTGGTCAGAAACTGGTGATAGATATTTAATAAAACTTTTTAGAGATTATGTATTTCATCAAGTTGATGAACATGGATACCCTGTCATCGATATGTCTCATGTTTTAGTTTGTCTAAATAAGGTAACATATGTTATACATTAATAAATTATTAATAAATACTAAAATCCTTTTCTTTTTTTTTAAAAAAAAAAAAATTAGTTGGATGCAGGTATCGATGAAAGAATAATGTTGGTTTCAAGAGATGAACAATCATGTCTCATAGTCTCTTATAAAGAGATAAAAAACTGCATTGATTCGGCATTTAGAGATCTCTCAAGAAAATAATTTTTTTATTATTATTATTATTTATATCATGCATTTTTATTCTACTTTACTTTTTACATAATTATTTTAATTATTTTATTATTATTATTTAAATTTTATTTATGAGCGTCGGCTACGTTTGGGAGGATTTACGCCGTTGCTGATTATGAATTGATCCCCAATGGCCTTTCTCTAAATAATTTGTCAATTTCTTAATATCATACATTAATTTAATAATTTCAAGAATAATATCAATAATTTTATTACCTTTTTTTCTTCCTGAGGTTGCTTCTGTTGATCTTCTTCATGTTCCTTTTGTATAAGATTTATAAGAGTAGTGCACCGTCGTGCTATTTCTCCCGAAGTTCTTGATTTAATAAACCAATTAAATCGAAATAAATCTGAATTTTCAATATCATTCCTTATTTTTTCATAGACGTCTTCAGTTCCATAGCCATATTTCGCGAGGGAAATCAATAAATATCTATCTTCTTCTTCTGTAAATAATGTCTTGCCTTTAGCTTGATTTGAAACTTGTAATTGATGCCCAGGAGTTCGATACTGTGCAACCTTTGCTTTAAGTAACTCCTGTATTCCATGTGTTTGCTGTAATTTACTTTCTCCTTTAATAACTTTGGCGACAATTTCTTCATGATCTATTAATAAAAAAAAAAAGAATGAGTTTTTAATTCTTTATAAACTAAAAATTAAAACAAACATTTAGAACTAAAAAAAATGGAATCGCACTTGGTAATTCCTGATATCGTTGCCAAAACACTTTTGTATATGCCTTTACTTCTTCAAAAGTCTTGCCTTCTATCTCTGAAGCTATTTCTTCAAGAGCATTTCTATACGAAAATAATTTTTTTTTTTTAGAAACTAAATTTTTTCATTTTTTTTTGAATCCAAGTTGATAAATTTAAAGCATACCTTCCGTATTTGGCAGATGCGTTCACAAAATTATTGAAGTCTCGCTTGCTCCAATCTTCAAATATCTTTTTTTTTACAATTTAAACATTAGAAAACAATATTTATTTATATCATTTATATTTACTTTTATTTTATATTTAAAAGTTAAAAAAAATTTAAAATATACAAACATTTTCCATTAATGCTTCTTTCTCACTTTCTTCTTTTTCTGTTAATGCTTCAGCTAGAAATTGATGAAATATATTATTAGATAATTATAAATTTAAACCCGTAGAAAGCAAGGAGAATATCTATACGATACCATTATCTATTTTATCCTGTTCATCTTGACGCTCTTGTTCTCGAAATTCTGTATTATTAACATTGTCACCTTCTGAAACCTTATAACCAGCTAATTTCTACATTTAATATTAAAAAAAAAAAAAAAAATTAATTATTTTATATTATATAAATCTTAAGAAATCTATTAAATATGAATATTAACCTGTTGATGATACATTTCTTTTTTCAACAATTCAATTAGCCGAGGAGGATAAAATTGAAATTCATTACTATAACAATTATTTAAAATTATTAGATTAGGAGAGTATTTGAATAAATAAATGAAATAAATAAATAAAAATACAAACATAGTAATTTGTTTTGGTGCTCGTGGCACTTTAGGTTGAGTTGGTTTAGCAGTAACTCGTAATGCTTCTCTGTAGTATGAGTCAACAGCGTAATTCACTTTACGTTCCCGTTTAGGAGGTTCGATCCAATTGAATCGTGAGTTTTGATCTTTTCGCTAAAATTATATCGTAATGAAATGCAATGAAATATAATAAAATGAGCAAAATTTATAATTTTAAATATACTAACCTTACTACTCCAGTCCTCCCCTTGCCATTGATATGCTGATTCTGAAGTGAAATTTTGTAGGTCGTCAAGACCTAAGCTCTGATATTTCATATTAAGCTCCACAGTTTTCTCTTCGCCTTTACGCAAAATTAGATCAATGTCGTCATCCGTTACAGTGCTAATAAATGATATTAATGTTCATAAATTAGCTCAGATATTTAAAAAGGAAATAATAAATAATTCTTGATTATCTGTACCTATCGCTCGAACTAAATATGCTCTCGGCTCCATGTTGTATCATAGTTAAAAGCTCCTCCTTACTCGCAGCTAATATATGAATACAAATAAATCAATTTATAAACCGAGTTTAGAATTTAAAAAGACAAAAAAACAAAACCAACTAAAATCATTCTACCTTTTTGTGATTGAACTAATCGACCTTGTTGAATTACAAGCTGATCTAAACGTAATTTTTGTGCAGCTCTCTCCAGAACCTTTTCTTCAATAGCATTCTATATACGAATTATACAAATTTAAAAATATATATCATTCAATGTCGCATATAATAGTTATGCGTTCTCGTGTATGAAAAAGTATTTACCTCTGTGACAAATCGAAAAACGTAAACTTGCTTCGTCTGACCAATACGATGTGCGCGGTCTTGAGCTTGTAAATCGACTTGCGGATTCCTATATAAAAAAAGAAAGTCAACAACGGATCTTTAAAATTTAAGGGGATTGTTTTAAATCCTCACCAATCGCTGTCATAAAGTATTACGATATCTGCAGTAGTGAGATTGATTCCGAGACCTCCGGCACGAGTCGTTAACAAAAAGATGAACTTACTACTTTCAGGTGCATTGAACTCATCAATTGCAGTAATACGGTCATCCTGTTTTGTCTGCCCATCAATACGGCAATATTCTAGAAATTTCCCAATAAAATTGATTTAAATGGAATAAGTTAAACACAATATTATAATAATAATATCATTACTACAACCGTACCATTTTCTCGGAATATACAATAATCCTCTAATATATCAAGAACGCGACTCATTTGACTGAAGAGAAGAACCCGAGAACCTTGGGCTTTTAGACGTTTTAATAGTTTATCTAGAACGACCATTTTTCCTACATGAAGATCATCATATATTACAAAGATCAATAAAATGAATATCAAGAATTCATTACATTGACGAAAACACACCTGCATTTTCTATAATATGCTCATCGGTCGTGTAAGGTGGTCCTGGTTCCTATAATAAAAACAGAAAAATTAATTATTATTATTTTAAAATATGAGAAATTTTTATTAAAGTATTTAATGCGACTTACAGCCCCGTCGAAAAGGTAAGGATGATTGCAACACTTTCGTAATTGCATAACAATATTCAGCAAACGAGTTTTGCTTTCGCTCTTACTTACGGCACCTATATACGAAAAAATGTTTAATACAAATGTAATGGAAATATTGTCGTATTAATAAATAAAAATAAATTTTTACCGTTCACCGCAGCGATATCTTTTTCTAAAATTCTTTGATACCATTTTCTTTGTAAAGATGTCATGCCAACGTATAGGTTTATTTCTTTTTTTGGAAGCAATGATTTTTCAACATCAGATTTTATTCTTCTAAGAAGGAAAGGTCGTAATACCTAAAGAAACAGTGTAATTATCGTATTATATTAAATTCGTAAAAAATAAATTGAAACTGTAATATATTCAATTGTTTATATTTACTTTATGCAGTTGTTGAATGACGCTATCTTGATCTCCACCTTGAGAACTAAACCATGAGTCAAAATCTTCTGATGAACTAAACACATCAGGTAAAAGGAAGTTCAGTAAAGCCCACAATTCGTGAAGGTTATTTTGAAGGGGAGTTCCAGTAATTAACAATCGATTCCGTGATTTGAAGAGTCTGACAATCTGAGAAAGCATTGAGTTTTCGTTCTTTATACGATGGGCTTCATCGATAATAATATATTGAAAGGCAAATTTTTTTAGCGTGGCCTTTTCAATTAAACACATCTCGTAAGAAGTTATGCAAACTTGAAAATCCTTGGGCATCATTCTATCCGTAATTAATTGCGTCTTTATGAAATACAAATCTTTTAGTAAATATGAAAAAAAGATAATAAAATTAAAAAACAATAAATTAATTAATACCCTTTCTTCTTTGGTTCCATGTAGAACAATTATATGAAAATCTGGCATCCACATATTAAATTCTTTTGCCCAATTGTTTAAGGTTGATTTTGGTGCAACGACAAGATGTGGTCCAGGCGTGCCCCGAAAATGTTTCAAATATCCAAGGAACGAAATGGTTTGTAAAGTTTTACCGAGGCCCTAAATTTTCGTAATTGTAATTTTAGAAATAATAGAAATAACCTGATGAAAGATATGCTAAAAAATTTTATTTATGCGGATGCAAATACCATTTCATCTGCTAAGATTCCATTGATCCCGTTTTCGAAAAGTGATATCATCCAGTTTAAGCCTTGAAGCTGATAATCGCGCATAATTCCATTCTTGATATCTATAGTAATAAAAACAGATGAGAAAAATTATTCATATTGTTCATATTATCCATATTACTCATATTATTCATATTATTCACATCATTCATATTATTCATGCAAATGTTGAAGGTTATATTACTTACAACTTGGGGATTTATTGAAAACCCGTGTAACATCTTGTGATTCGTCTGCTTCATCGTTGAGTAATTCCTAAATTTACAATTTATAATTAGAACTCTCGTTTAAGAAAGATTATTATATATGACAGAAAAAACACTAACTTCATCTTCCTCTTTCTCTGTCCTCCGATGTCGCTTAGATCTGAAAGAGTTAAATAATAAATAGCCATTAAGAAATCAAATTATAATCGAAAAATATCTGTTGATAAAATTACCCAGAATCTTCGTTAAACGAATTTCTAAACTTCTCAGTTTCTTCAACAAGTTGTCTGAATTCTTGATCTTTTGATTTCTAATTAAATAATATTTAAAAGCAATCCGATCATTTAGAATCAAAAATATATCATAATTAAAATATGAATCGAAAAATACATGGATAATATACCTTTAAATCAATAAAATGTGAAAATAACTCTGTATTAAAAAAAAAAAGATGTTTAAATAAATAGATTTTTGGAAAACACTCCCAAATTTATAAAAAAACAATATTTCACATACCTGAATGACCAAGTAAAAACTGGAACCGTTTTGCAGTGTCTTTAATCTAATTTTTAATAAAATAAATAAATATTAATACAGTGGAATTATTTTGAAATAAAGACAAGGCTTTAATTACCTTATTGTGATTTAAAATTTGTTTATCTTGTTCGAAAACTTGTTTCTGAACTTTCCTTTCCTTTCTAAGACGTTGATTCTTAACCTTCTTGTCATCGATTGTTTTCGTCAAATCCTTCAAAGATGCATTCAAAAAAGCGCATAAGCTTGTGATTAGAAAAGTAACACGAGACAAGAATAACAAAAGTTTAATAAACTACATTTAGAATGTTTAAATTACCTCTTTTGTCGACTCAACTTCTGATACATTTGAAGCTTGTCCAGTTTTGGTTTCAATCATAATAATGTCATCACGAAACTACGTTTTATTTTATAATTTAATAAGAATGGGAAAGATACAGAAAATACGCAAGAACAAGTAGAAAATAATTATCAAACCATGGGTGTTCCTGATTGATTGTTTTCTTGTTTTACGGGTGTTCCTGATTTTTCACTTACTTCTGGAAACTCGTTTTTCAAATCAATGTCCATAATTTGTGACATTTTGAGACAAATAAATCGGATAACAAAATTTTTATAAAAAGATTAAAATTTCAAAATTTCGGTGTTATGTACTTTGAAACAAGAACGAAAAGTCGCGTACAGTATTGGATTACCCGTTATATACGGACTTTAAATTAAATTTATAGACCCTGGAGCCGACAATCTGGGTCATAGTCACACAAACTGATCCCACCAATCACAGTTTTGAATTTTTTTATACTATTAGGATGGCTAATATCATATAAAATATTTGTAATTTATAAATATTTCATTTTTTTTATAAAAAAATATTTGAAATATGGAATTTGGTTTCTTAAGAAATGCTAAAAGTACAGGACACAACTCTTTAAGAAAAATCAAGTTCAATGTCTTTGTCAAAAAAGATTATAATTTGAAAAAATTTTTTTTTATTTTAATAAATCTTATTTTAAATTTATTTATTAAAATAATAATAAGTTTTATATTATTTATATAATATGGTATAGAAAGTCTAAAGACATCAAGCTGCTGAAATTTTGTGATTAATATGTCATATGATTTATTATATAAATGCTTATCAGAAGTACAAAAAATTTATATAAATTCAAAAATTTTTGAACAAAAAAGAAAAAATTCAAAAATTTTAAATAAAAAATTTAAGTAATCCGAAAGAATTATTTACTGCTGAAAATTTTAGGTTTAATATAAAAAATACCTTTGTTTAAATACTAACTACACAATATATTATTATTAATTATAATAAAAAAATATATTAAATTATAGAGTTAATCTAGAGTTATTAAATAATGTATTTATTTTTTAATTTTATATTTGGATACAAAGTTTTAGTAGTTTAAAATAAGTAATAAATATTTGATGTTTTTAAACTTTCTACACTATTCAAATATCTAACTTATTCTAAACTAATTCAAAAGAAATATACCTGTAACCTATTACTTAACAAGTGAACTTATTTTCAGTATGTTAAAGTTCTGTTGAATAATCTATCTTATATACCTCTATTTAATTCATATTATTATAGACTATTATTTTCTAAGTATATTCTTAAAAATGTTTATTGTATTCTTCTTATTTGTTTTATTATTAACATTTATAATTATTAATATTATTCTTACTGAAATTGTTATTGTTATTAGTACCTATATTATTGTTTATACTTAAAATTGTTTTTCTACCTTTTCTTGTTTTTATATTATTATCAATTTTCTATTTTTTAACTTCTTTACAATGATGGTTCCAAATTTCTTTTTGTATATAAGATTTAAAATTAACTATTATCTCTTCTATTATTAAGTTTGTATTTATTTTATTCTTTGTAATACTTTATATTTTCTTTATAAATATTATAGATATAAAATCTATAAATATGTCTATAAATAAAAGATTTTGTTTATCATCTACTATTGAATTATCAAGCTCAACTAAATTATTTAAATCCTTTTTGAATTCTTTATTAATATAATAAGTTATTTTAATTTAATTTATTTATTGTTATTATAAATAATTTCTCTCTACAAATACTTAGATCTACCAAATTTTTTTACATAAAAAAACATATGTTTGATTTTTTGTCACTATCTTATACTATACACTGACTATTTTATATATTAAAGAAAATCTGATTGTTATTTTCTCTATTGTCAATAATTCATTATTTAATATTTTAATATTAAAAACTTGATTTTTATTATTCTTATTATTAGTAATATTAGAAAATTTTCACTTGCAAATATATATATATATTTGCAATTAATAAAAATTAAATATATATAGATATATTTGATGTAATATACAAATTAATATAGATAAATATTATAGGTACTATTCAAATTCAAAATGCTAAATCTCAAATTCCAAATTTCAAATTACTAATTATCAAAATTCCAAATTACAATTATACTAAATTTCAAATTTCAAATATTATAAAAATTAAATTTTGATAGTTGAAATATCAAAATAATTTGGAATTTGGAGGTGTATATATAATAAATATAAATTAATATAGATTAATATAATTTATGTGAATAAATATATAAGTGAACAATATATTCAAATATATTTACTTCCAAAAATTTTTTAATGAATATATTTTTTACATATGATCTTGTCATCAATACTTATGTTAAAATTTAACAGATTTTTTTATTTTTTTTTATTTGTTAAACTTGATGTATTTCTATTGAGCAATCTTTATATATTTTTTTTTGTAAATTTTTGAATCAGTTTCTCAATAGGAATTAAGTTTTATTGTAAAGATAGTAGGTACAACACAAATTGAGTTAAAAATTTAATCAGATTTAATTTAGTCAATTGAGTTTAAAAAATTAGTTCTGGTGCTAAGAATGATAAGTACAATATGAATTAAACCTAACCAATTAAGCTTAGAAATTAGTTCTAATGTAATCTGGTGTAATGATTAAATTCTCATATAAAACTAAATTCTATTACAAAAGTTAAATAATAATGTAATTCTAATTGACCAGTACAATTATAAAATTTATTAAATAATTATTATTAAATATAAATTCTAAAATTATTTAAAAATTCTTATTATAAACTTCAAATAATAGTCAAATTATTTTTCTAATATTAATATTTATAAAGATTTTAATATTTAAAAATAATTATTTTTATTATTAATTCAAATCTATTTTATGTAATTTGAAATAATTTTTTATTAAAAAATTTTTATGACTAATCAAAAGTTCTAATTTTTAACTATATAATAATATGTATTTTATTTTTATAATACTAATCACTAGTCAAATTGTGAAAAATTAGTATCTATCATATATCTATTAGGTATCTAATAGATATGTGATAGGTATCTAATTTTTTATAAATTGTAATATATTAAATACCCGATAGGTAAGATAAGCGTGCTGAAATCTGAACACATATTGAGTATATATTGAGTAGATATTGGATACATATTTATTAGAAAATTTTAATAGGCAAAAAATTATGTAAATTTTTACTTTATAAATTTTCATAAATTTCTGATACCTTCAGAAGTTTGCACAAAAAAATTTATAATATTTCATAATATTTCACAATATTTCACAAAAATTTCTATAATATTTTATAATATTTTATAATATTTTCACAATATTTCATAATATTTTCACAATATTTCACAAAAATTTCTATAATATTTTACAATATTTCATAAAAATTTCCATAATATTTTTACTATCATCAGGAAATTTTTTCTAGTGAAAACCTTCGAAAGTTAATGTTAACATAAGTATTTTGCTGTTTTTCGATATGCTATCCTTTGAAGGTTTTCACTAACCTTTGAAAGTTATTGATTTTGATATTTTCACGTGACAAAATTTTGCGAATATTATCGTTTTCGTAGTAAATTCATATCGATAACCTTTGAAGATTATCGATTTTGATATTTTC